GCCCATATGTCACAAGCCAAAGGTGGTAATGAGTTACCTTAGTGAGCAAGATTTGGAAATTATGGATTGGCCACCGCAAAGTCCTGACTTAAATCCAATAGAAAATCTTTGGAAGACCTTAGGAGTGAAAGTTATGGAAAGAAATCCCACTAACACGGAGGATTTGTGGGTGAAGCTTCAAGAAGAATGGTCTAAAATTAGTATCGAGGATTGTTAGGAACTGATTCGTTCTTGTAGTCAAAGATGTGCAGCTGTCATTGAGAGCAAGGGCTCATTTACTAAATATTGATTGTAATGTATTTTTATTGTTTTTTTGCCATTTACATTGTTTTTCTCAATTTTGTCCCTTACTTTTGGATGTTCCAAATTTGAAAATAAATTATTATAATTCTTTTTCTATCCTTTGCAAATGATTCAAATTTTAGTATGTTATTATGGATGATAACGACTACCAGTTGTCAAAATTTCAGCTTTTCACAGTTGTTATTTCTAACAAATATTAGGTTTTAAAATTTTGTCCCTTAGTTTTGGACGCTACTGTATAACATTGTATCAAGTCTTACATTTCTGCATCTATGAAATTCATACTGAATATTGTACATGGTGCACTTTTATGACTTTATCACCTATAAATAATGTAACTCTTTCTTTGACTTAATTGACCAGTTGACAAAATCTCAGGTGAGAAATTCTAATCTTTGACTCCAAGTTATATTCATCTGATAAATTTTGCCACAAACCGATGCTCTCCAGGGAATAACTTTAGGTAAAGTAAAGAAAATAAATCTTCAGACAATTCTAATTATGGTTCTGCAGATTCCTCAAGTGATGTAACATTTATGTTGCACAAGACTAGGGTTTCTTATCTTTGTTTTTTTTTGTTTTTATAGAAAACTAAAATCTTTTATCTACGGCTACTTTTAACTAAATGTTGTTGAAACTTTATTCAATGAGATGACTTATGCCAATAAAAGTATTTTGGCAGTTTTATGAATAACTAACCAGGAGAAAATATTTATATCTTCTTTTTGCAAATTAGAAAATAAAAAAAAATAGTGTACCATTTGCAGTACCAGTGAAAATTTCTGTGTTGGTATCTGAATTTTTTGATGAAATGTAATTTTTAATAAACGATTGAATAAACTCCTTGTTAGTTCCACAGTTATGGAATATTTATGAAAATTCCTGTTTGTTGAATATGTTATCTGAGCAACTTTAATCAAATGCTGCAACAAGAATCTTAAGTGTGAATGCAGTACATTACTTGAAGATGAAGAGATTCAAAATTAATAAGGTTTTTTCCATTTTCACTGAATCATTAAATTCATGGGAGCATTATCACTTCCTCTATCATCTTATTATGTATGCTTTCTTTTCTTCACTAAAACTAAACAGCTTCTTTGATATAACTTTTTCTTCCATCTTGCAATCAAAATGGAATGGTTCATTATTTATCTCTGATAATAGCAGGAGATAACATACGTGTAAAGTAACATAGTATATTAAAAATACCAGCAATACATTTTTATATAAAAGAAATGACCGACAATACATTTTTATATAAAAGAAATGACCGACAATACATTTTTATATAAAAGAAATGACCGACAGTACATTTTTATATAAAAGAAATGACCGACAGTACATTTTTATATAAAAGAAATGACCGACAGTACATTTTTATATAAAAGAAATGACCGACAGTACATTTTATCTGTAGTTGAAGGTATACAATTGCATTCAAAATGTATTTAGTTAAAGCCATAAAATTGTGTTCAAAATATTTAGATTTCAGCAATAAGTAACCCACAAAGGTTGATATGTCACTTAACAAAAATCAACCAACCAAACAGCCATCTCTTTCATGACATTAATCCATATGATATCCTACAATTTCTTAAAGAACTCAAGCTGTATTTCAAAATATACTTCAACATTTGGATATTTTCTTATGCTGTTTCTTGATCTAAGCTTTCAGCTCACATAAGCCATCATCAAAGTGGTTATATAGACATTAAAATATATTAAAATCCACTTAAACACATGGTTCTCTTGATAACATTACTTTCTTTCATGTACAATGTCATAGAACCGTATTACAAATTAATGACCAGCTTCTGCTATTCCATGAACGTTAACGTCACATAGAAAACTTATATGTAAACATTATAGGATGTCATCTTTGATGGTGAACATCTCTGTTGTAATGTCAATATAACCACTCAGATGATGGCTCATGCAAGCCGAAAGTTTAGATTGAGGAACAGCATAATAATAAAAAATACCCAAATGTTAAGCATTTTGTGTCTTTATTTTCTCCCGAAATTAAAGCAGCTATACGAAGCTTAGAACGGCTCATGATCAAACATAATAGACATTCAATATCTGTTATCTTTAATAATATGTTTGAATAATGATCTGCTGCCCCAATACATTTTATTATATATATATATATATATATATACACACACACACACACACAGCATTGTAACACAATCAAGAATAAGCAGTTGTTATAGCATTGTTTTTGGGGGTTTTTTTTAATCTCGAAAACCCCTGTTAGTAAAATTTTTCATCTCTAGGCCCATAGATATTAACGAAAAACAGCAATGTCTAACTCATGTTCACTTAAGAAAATTATAAGGAGAGTGAAAAATTATAAGCACAACCAGTCTGGCCTTAATCATGGTGTGTCATGAATTTTTTGCGGATAGCACTGCGCCTTCATGGCCTCGCGTTTTTCTCTATTTTCTTTCAACTATAGGGTAGCCAATTTGAAAACGTTACTTTACTCCTGGTCATAAAACACCAGACATTTTAGACTCAGATAAACTCCTATTGGACTCACTTGACTGTTAGGTCCCATTGCAACACAGTAAGCCTTAAATTTTAATCTCATTGTTTTGTTTTATCATCAAAATAAATCTTATGTAATCTATAAAGGATATGAAAAAGGAATCCCGATTTAGTAAGCATTTCTATTTATAAACAGGGAAAAAACAGGTTATCCATAATTTTACAAATAATACAAGTAAAGATCAATCTTGCAATTCATTAAACATTTACAAAAGCAATTTTGAAAGTATAACTACAATAAGAAAACTCACAATCCATGAATTGCGTTATAGGTTCTTTCAAACCAATTCCCTGCTTTTGTGTGAGAAATCATTTCAAAACAGTTTACATTCATACAGAAAAGATTTACAAAGGGAAAAAGAGGCAAATATACCATTCATCAGATCTCAATAAAAATGCCTTCTTCAGAAATATACTTTACTGAGCAAAGGAACCATCAGTCACAACCCTAAATAAGTTGTCATTCTTTTTCTTTGTAGCATATTAAACTTTGTTCAAATAGAAAAAAAAAAGAGAATAAGATGGGGCAGAGATATAAAGAGAGAGAGAGAGAGATTGTACAAGCCAAGAACTTCATTTCAACAGCATCTGTCTTGTCTATCAGCATTCAATATTGCTGAACACATCACACCCAATAAGGACTTGAAAATTTTGATTGCAAAGTAGAAGCAGGTGGTTTATGACTTTTATGCCCAGTAAAGAGATGTTTCTAAGCAAAGTTCCTGAAAGTGCTTGTAGAACATTCTTAACTTTCTATTGGAAGCTTGAAAAAGAGATCACATTTCAATAAAATCAAGAAAAAAGAAATCTCTGAAGAATTCAAATTGTTTTTACTGACTTGTTCCAAAATTGATTAGCTTAATTCTTTGGATACTTCCCTTAAGTTTTACTTACAGCCTTGACATGAGGGGCAAAAAGTTCTAGGCTTTACCAAGAAGCCCATCAAAATGAATAAAAAGGATTTATTGATTCTTAGTCATTTAGTCAGATTTTGGGAAATTTGACCAATAACATTTCAGTGCACCTGGTATGTGTATATATTAAATACAAAAAATGTTCTAGGTACAGACAAAGACTAAAAATCTTTTCACACCCACTAGATTAAAAATATAAAGTTAAGCAACATTGAGCCTGGCAATACTAGGTGCTGTAAGCTTCAATGTGTGGGTAGTGTAATGGATAATGGCTCAGATTTTTAGATTGGAAAGACAAGTTCCAATTCCAATCAGGTTTTTTTATATTCACTTACATGCACTTACCCTTGGGAAAGATATATATCATCTCTTATCCCCAGTTATGGGTTAATTAGTAGTACTTTTATCAGGAAATTATTATCTCCAAAATATTTTTACAATCTAATATCTTCTGGCTTTAAATAACCTGCAAAAGGTTGATAATCTGTAAAAAATAAATCAATAAAAATATAAACTTCAATAAAAAAATGTTTGCAGGATTTTTTTTCCATTCAGAAAATCAAGAAACACTCAACTCCTGAGGTAAAATCATTACCAAAGTTTGCTTGCTTCTCTGTAGACTTGCAACCAGTAGATAGCATTTAATGTATAAACTTTAAACCCGTAACCTCACCAATTGATGCAGGTGATCCATAAGTTCATATCTGTACATGTATAATGATCAAATGACTTTTGGCTTCATGCTAACAATGAGAAATTCATTAAAAGATGGTAGACAAATTTAAAGCCCAAATAAAAAATCAATCTTTCATCTTAGGGAAATTATATATAATCTGAATAAATTATAGCAAAGGCGGGTGTCTATATTTTCAGTTTCCTTTGAAAAGAAAATGTAATCTCTCAGTTAGTCAAGACAGTTGATTTTTATCATTTAAACTGTCATAGTTGCATACAAGCATAGTCCAGAAAGATAGACTATCAGGAAAATAGAAAGTCCTTTTCAATGTTTGTTCATCACCATCCTTTGCAACTCTTGAAGTAATCCAATATCTTTTGATGCTCACAACATGTAAATACAAATTATATTTTTCACACAAACATTCAATTCCAGGCTGACAAAGACATATTGGTTATTAAGTGTGTCACTTGAATTTATATTGAAGTGAGACAAAAAAAACCCAAAAAAACACTTCCCTAGAAGCGAAGCACAAGATTTATTTTAGCATCAAATTAGATGATTTTTTTTTCTTCTAGAGAATTGGGTGAAAAAGACGAAAGAGAAGGGACTGGGTGAAAAAGACGAAAGAGAAGGGACTGGGTGAAAAAGACGAAAGAGAAGGGACCGGGTGAAAAAGACGAAAGAGAAGGGACGAGGCGGAGAGTGTCAACCGGGTGAAAAACAACGAGGCGGAGAGTGTCAACCGGGTGAAAAACAACGAGGCGGAGAGTGTCAACCGGGTGAAAAACAACGAGGCGGAGAGTGTCAACCGGGTGAAAAACAACGAGGCGGAGAGTGCACAACCGGTGAAAAACAACGAGGCGAGAGGTCAACCGGTGAAAAACAACGAGGCGGAGAGGCCAACTGGTGAAAAATGATGAGGCGGAGAGGTCAACCGGTGAAAAACAACGAGGCGGAGAGGTCAACCGGGTGAAAATAACGAGGCGGAGAGGTCAACCGGTGAAAAACGACGAGGCGGAGAGGCCACCGGGTGAAAACAACGAGGCGAGAGGCCAACCGGTGAAAACAACGAGGCGGAGAGAGGTCAACCGGTGAAAACAAGGCGGAGAGGCGGGAGAAGAACGGAACGGAGGTGAAAAGAACGAGGCCTGAGAGGTGAAACCGGTGAAGAACAAGGCCTGAGAGAACCGGTGAAAAACAACGAGGCGGAGAGTGTCAACCGGGTGAAACAACGAGGCTGGAGAGTGTCAACCGGTGAAAAACAACGAGGCGGAGAGTGTCAACCGGTGAAAACAACGGGCGGAGAGGTCAACTGGTGAAAACGACGAGCGGAGAGGCCAACGGGTGAAAAGAACGAGGCGGAGTACAACCGGTGAAAATAACGAGGCGGAGAGGCCAACCGGGTGAAAAACAACGAGGCGGAGAGGAACCAGGTGAAGAACAACGGTACCGGAGAGTGTGAACCGGTGAAAAACAACGAGCGGAGAGGGAACCGGTGAAGAACAACGGTATATGAGAGGTGAACCGGTGAAAAACAACGAGGCGGGAGAGTGTGAACTGGGTGAAGAATGACGAGGGGAGAGGTCAACTGGAACCGGGTGAGAGTGTCAAACGAGGAAGAACGAGGAGATGGGTGAAGAACAATGAGGCGGAGAGTACAACGGGTGAAGAACAACGAGGCGGAGAGGAACCGGGTGAAAAAACAACGAGGGGGAGAGGTGAACCGGGTGAAAAACAACGAGATGGAGAGGGAACTGGGGAAAAACAACGAGAGAGAGAGAGAAGATGGATGAATGAACCAAATAAGCAGGTTGAAAAAGCAGGAAATATGTGGAACCAGTGAGCGAGAAAATAATGTCTCAATCTTAACACCATAAAATATGCAGATGAAACAGTGTTGATAGCAGACACAGAAAGGAAACTGCAAGAATTCCTATAAAAGGTAGTGATGCAAAGTGAAAAGTCAGAATCCATGGTCTTTGCAAAATAAACAGTCCTCGATACAAATTACTAATTGCAAATACCAAAATTACAACAACTTAAATAGCGGGTAACTGTTTTAACAGAAGCCAAACTGCGTGACATTGAAATATGAAGATGCAGTTGGATAGTGAATGACCTTCCAAAAACTACACCAAGTATTAAGAAACAGAGTGTTAGAACAAAGAAAAGAGTACTGAAATATTACGTAAAATAAGTCCTTCTGAATTAGATGAAGATGAGACTTGAAGCAACAAAAATGTGATTCAACAGAAGGATTTTGAGAATACCATGGACTGAAAATGTGAGCAAATGACAAAAAAGACACTTATACTTAACATCAGGAAGAGAAGGTTGAAATTTCTAGAACATGTAATGAGGAAAGATGGCCTGGAAAATCTGATACTCACAGGACAGATTGAATGCAAGTGAGATAGAGGAAAACAACACCTAACTAGTGAGAGAACAAAAATCAAATTTTATTAAGAGCTACAAATGACAGGTAATTGCGGTTAGCCATGATTGTCAGTGTCTTGAAGTGACATGGCACATAAAGGTTTTAAATAAAAATTTGTCTAAGTAAATTTATGAAGAGTGTAAAAAGAGAGACACTCAGCTGAACATTTTTATAATAACCAACTAGATTAAAAAAATTCTCTCCTAACTGGTTATGAGTTTTGAGTATGTAATAAAATTAGAATTATTTAAGTATCAAATGTCCTGATTTTTATACTGACTTATGCCTCTTCATATTCTTGTAAATGAACGGTTTTTGTATTTCCATTGCATTATTAAACAAAAATGAAAAAAGCTTGTCAAATGAGAGATATTAGTGTTCACCTCAATAATGCCAAGTGTGATTCATTTAGTTATAGCTGCAACTGATTTTAGAAAAGGATAATTTCAATTTTCAGCTAAAAATGTTTTCTATATTAATTTCAAGAAAGTCCACTTATCAAATAAAACAAATTATTAATGAAAATAAAATATTTAACTTAGGAATTATTTCTGAAAATTAGAAATTCAGTTATCAATTTTATGGGCGAAATCAGAAAAATCCAAGCTTTTGGGGAAAAAAAAAATTAATTTGTCCATCTAGAGTTGTCTACGAGATAACATGCACTTTTTTTTATGGGAGTTGGGTACACAAGAACTGTTTATAAAAAAATGAAATTAATGTCAGGTTAGCTGTCTCATAATGAAAGGAAATTAATTTAATGAAACACTGTTTTTATTCTACAGATTTAAGTGATAAAAAAAGTTTTTAAATTAAAAATAGAATGAGTATCTAATATATGGATTTCAATAATTTTGAATTTAAAATGAATCTTATGTAATTATCCACCTGCCAAGTTATTTTAAAATGCTCTAAATATAAAAGAGTATGAATGTATAGGAATACAAGAAAATTTTTTAGATGCATATGTTGATGGCACATGTGTCTAATGTTATAAAACAAAATCTATTTTAAATAGTTTTTAACACATTCAAAATTAAACATAGATTTTTGATTGGTTAAATTTAAGCAAATTTGGCAACCCAGAGTTGTCATCCTGTTCCTTTTTGTAACCTCTCTGCGTCTCAGCTTTGCACTCCTCATAACTTTGCTAGATTTGAGGCTTTCATAGGACACTAGCTGAAAGCAAATGAAAGATATTCCAAAATAAAAATGTTCTTTTAGTAAAATCCTTTGTTTTATTCTGTTAGCACAAATACTGAGCAGCCGAATAGTTTTAGGTCATGAACCGTATATTGGTGAGTCTCTTGTAAAAGAAAAAGAAAAACTATGAACACGACTTGAAAATTAACATGCCCTTCTTGCACAGCTGGATGTACAATCTGAGTCATTTGATATCATGCACAAAAAGTTTCTTTTTTATGACTTCAGATTTCCCTCTACCTATCACAGTTAATAAACTACTATCAGAAGGAAGGATTCTTATATGAATAACTTTTTACCTATTCTGATTAAAGAGCAAATTGAACAGAATTTTCATTTACTTTTCTTTTTTAAGTATCAACTTTGTAAATGAAATTTGTAACCTTAGTTAAATTATCAGCCTTAGGCCTATCAACAGTTTCGAAGAAGTCAATTAGAATTCACTGAACACTATTTGTCTTATTGAAAAAGAAAAACCAGCTACATTCTGTTTATAGTTAGATGAAACAAAAAATGTCTAAGACAGTTCGTTAAGGAAGAAACATGAAATAAAAAACGTACAGAGTTTCAAATCCTTTAAATCTATTTCCAACTGAAAATTCAGGATATTTTTAGATTTGTATTTAGAGAAGATACAGTGTGAGCTAAACAAGCCTGTAAACTAACACTTCTTTGTATGAAATTTCATTTAATTAAAAAAAAATTTAAACAAGTTAACTCCCTTGGATCCTCTCATCACAAAATAAGAATGTTTTCTTCTGGGCACAATCAAGATGGCGAATTTTCAAAAGTTTACAGAGGTAACATTTTTTTTTTTTTAAAAAAAAAAAAAAAAAAAAAAATTTGAATGGAATACTTGGGGGCATGGGTTTAGGTAAAAAAAATAATGGTGACAATCTTAAAATGTCACTGACTGAATGAGACCCCAAAGAAATAGGCAAAAAATTGACAAAGCCCTTACAAAACACAATGTAATTCAGCATTTTGATAGAAAAAAAAGGGGAGAGAGAGTTACTAGACTACACAAAAACTTGATATCACAATATTTCTTGGGGTGAAATTGTCAAAATTACTCGAGATAAAATAAGAAAACAGATGATGTGTATTGATATGCAAATCCCAGTAGCTGTTACTTTGTGATACACAAAATATGTCACACTCTGTTATTCTTCATATTTAACAATGCTGACCAAATGCACATTTCAGATTTTACATACATAACTGGAAATTAGTCAGCAACAAATGGTACAGGAATGACAAACTACTAATGTGTACTTAAAGTCGGTTTTAAACTGTTCATCTCTGCACATGGACTCGGGGTGGTAGATTTTATATTTGAATGTGAGAGAATGCCAAATTTACATATTTTAAAAACGAGACTAAAAAGCAGCAACAGTCGTAGTAATCACATGTACTAAGCGACTCATGAATACCATTGAATACACTTTTTTGATTTGTTGCAACACAAATAAAAACATTTTTTTATTAAAATTTTAAACTGCATTTGCAATTTAGATATTTCTGAAATTTTATGCTTGGAAAACAGTTTATAGTCGAATAAAAGATTACTTTTTAAAAACAGTTGGTCATAGCACTGCATAGATAGAATTCTTTAAAAAAAAATGTAAGCATTTTATCATCTGATATATGATTGTGATGATAATATAGATAACAATATTATTATTAACTATAGTATTTGCAATTAAGATCTGTTTCAAATAAAACAATTACAAATCCTATTACTGTTTATTTCACAAGGAGGTGCTGAAAAATTATTTATGTGATCCATTTACCCAAATCTCACCAAATAATCAACACTTTAGTTTAGGCTTTTCCTTGGATGTGAAAGTCTTGTTCTATCAGCCAGAAATTTATGACTTCAAATATTTTGGCTACTTGTCTTTTTAAAAAATCAACTACAGTGAAATAAAACCTCAGCTGGATTTTATTTATTTATATATATATATATATATATATATATATATATAGAACAGTTCTGGAGGAAAGATGTATGACAAAGTTGAAAAGGTTTTTGTGTGACATGTTTCATCTCTTAAGACATCATCAGATTAGCTTTGTTTATATTGATATGGCTACACATGAACAAAAGACACTGGGAATTTTAAATTTAGAAAAAATAAATTATCTTCTGACCTTGCTGGTCTATTTATACCTTACAACCTAACCGCGCACCATGAATTAGACATTAAGGGATACAGTGATGACAGGCTCATGGTAGTGAGGAGCTCCACAAATTTTAAAGTAGATAAAATTAGAAAGATAATATATAGTGAATTCAGAAGACTAAATTTAAAAACTACAGTCAATACTAAATTAAAAAGGGTAAACCTCCTTGACATAACTTTAGACATAATGAACATATTATTACAGAAAACCTAACGCTAACCACTTGTATGTACACCTTAAGTCAAACCACCCGCCATCTATATTTAAGCATATACCCACATCAATAGAGAAAAGAATCAGCATGAACTCCGCTAATAAAGATATATTCCAACAACACAGTAATTTTTATAACACAGCTCTAAAAAAAATAGCAGATACAAAAATGCTAACATCAATTATAGAAACAACAGTACTAACCAGAAGAAAAACAGGAAAAGAAAAATCATATGGTATACTCCTCCATTCAACTAAATGGTTAGTATTAAGCTAAGACATAAGTTCCTAGCTTTAATTGAAAAACACTTTCCTACTAATAGCAGACTTTGCAAGATCTTCAATAAAAACACCTTAAAATTAAGTTACAATTGCACTTAAAATCTAGAAAGAATCATAAAAAAAAAACAAATAAAATCCTGGAAAAACATGCATACCAAAACAGTATTAATAATAAAAATCCTAAACTAAAATTAAACAAAAATAATGAAAAATTACATGATTGTAGAAACCCTGAAGACTGCCCATTGGAAAATAAATGCTGTATAAAATCTGTGGTATATCAATGTACTATCTCATCCATTGAGAGTCCTAACACTGAAAGGATATACATCGGTTCCACAAAAAATTAATTTAAAATTAGATGGAGACAACACAAAAGCTCCTTCAATAATATTAGAAATAGAAATCAGACATCCCTATCCAAATATTTTTGGCATTTAAAAGAAATAAACACCAAAAGTAAAATAGAAAATAATAAATAGAACAGGAACTTGTAAAACCTGGGATGTTCTATGCCCTTTATGCCTACATGAAAAACTACACATTATCAAGTTCTAAATAATGAAAATTTATTAAACCATAGACATGAGTTAACAGTTTTCTGCCAACATTGACAAATTTTCACATTAAATAATTAGTATATAAAAAATTAAATTTCATAGTCTAATAAAATGTTTAAAAGCCTAACCCAATCATAAGATATGAAAAACCCTTTATGAAATCGTCAAAAAAACAAATTGTAGTTCAGTGTGATGCATTTATGTACGAAACAGACCTTTAGAGAGAGAAAAAAATTCTTTAGACACTTAACAACATACAATGGTGCCAACAGCTATCTGTTGCTGTGACGGACCAGACGATGTACGTATATGAATGCCATCATTCGCTTTGAAATGGACACCCCGGCCCTGCCTCGGCTTGGTGTCTTTCCGAAGGTGACTGATATGTGGATACACATTGTTAAATCTTACGCCCCTTATTGAAATGGTCTCTCCAGCCATTTCCATAGTAATTAATTTTACGAATGAAAATGCTTATAGAGATGCGTAAATTTCAAGATTGGTTATTCCTAAATTTTCACTTGAGGATGAAACAGAGCTTGATACTTTAATTCAATTTAATTTTAATAATTATATTGAGGTTTTGGCTCTTGTTTTTGAAACATGAGAACTCTTATGTAGCAAAGGAATCATATTTTTTTTTAAATAATTATAAATATATATATATATATATATATATATATATACATGAAATGATTTTTATCATTGGTTGACAGTCAGCTGTGCAAAGATGAGAGCAATAAAGATTGTGTAGGTATAGATCTACATCTGCAGAACAGTGCAAGAACAGCAGTTTGTTTTTGCAGTTTATTTGATCATCCTGTTTTTGAAGATTTTTTTTTTTTTGAGACTAGTTTTCTAGAACTATATTTGATTCTCACAATAAAAAGAAAGAAATCCTCAGCACATAACATCAGTATTTTCCAAAAGACAGACCTGCAAAAGTGAGCCCACATGAAATACAAGCAGATTTCCTTCAAATCATCACAAAATACAGTTTTTCAGTTGAGAGGACACACTGTATTTTTCTTTAATTCACTGTACTTTGATGGCATACAAAAATAAATTAGGTTATAAAGAAAAAGCCAATTAGAATTCTTCTGTTAATTATCTCTGTCTATTAACACATTGCTAAATGATGTCATCATCATTACTGAATCTGTTCACCAACATCAGCTCTAATAAAGGATAGAGTAAAATTACAAGGGCGGATTTCTAAAATTGAAACACAAATTAAGATAATAGAAAGCAGAGAAGACACACACAGAAATCATATTCGGCAAAAAGCACGAGAATATTAATCAAGGGTCAAGGAAATGTCATGGATGTTTAATGCTGATGAATCCCATCAAAGAAAAATTATCAGATAAGAAAAACATTTTGTGATAATTATCACCTTTAACAAAGTGCTTTGTCATTAACAATGGCTAATAAGAAAATAGATTTTTTTTTATTTCTTTGTTGTATTCAGTGCAACAAAGAAAATGTTTGATTGCCATATTTTCTTTTTATTCATCAGTTTCTTGTCTTCAGGAAAATACAAAAGAGAAGAAAAGATTTTCCCCAAGTTTTATTTTGCAGACAATGATTATACAATTATTTTTAAACACTTTTTTTTTTTCCATGAAATAAAAATTATCCTATATACTATGATTGTAGAAACACTTTAAATGAATTTATAAGAAAAAATATACTGAGTAAGATGGGGGACAAGGGGGAGATTAACAGGAATAGCAGAGGGGAAAGGAAGATGAGGGGGAGAAGCAGGGACAGACACATATGAACTAGTGGGAATTGACAGATCTGAGAAAACTGAAATAGATAACAACTGGAGAAAGACAGAGAGGGAGGGAGGAGAGACAGAGAGAGGGAGGGAGGAGAGACAGAGAGAGGGAGGGAGGAGAGACAGAGAGGGGGGAGGAGAGGAGAGGGAGGAGAGACAGAGGAGGGAGGAGAGAGAGAGAGAGAGGGGAGGGAGGAGACAGAGAGAGGGAGGGAGGAGAGAGGGACAGAGAGACAGAGAGAGAGGGAGGAGAGACAGAGAGAGGGAGGGAGGGAGGAGAGAGGAGGGAGGAGGGGAGAGGGAGAGGAGGGAGGGGGGAGGAGGGAGGAGGGGGAAAGAGGAGGAGAGACAGAGACAGGGAGGGAGAGAGAGAGAGGGGAAAATTAAATAAACCAATAAACTAACCATCTTAGATTAAGAAGTCCAAATAAGAAAAATTGTGCATTCCTTAAATAATTCCAAGCTTGCTCTATCAACACTACCTCCATAGCTGAATTGGTAAAAGCATGTTTCAGCTATAGACATGTTTTCCTTGATGGAAAAAGGGGATAGAGGTTCATTTCTTGTCAGAGGCATAACCTTTCTTAAGTAGGACTTCTCAATCTAGTCCAGTTGTTATTAATTTCAGAGTTTAAGAAAAACCCAAAAAGAAAAATGGCTAGCAACTCGATATGTGTACTCATAAAAATAATATTTATAGTAATAAAGAAATCATGCTAAAAATCCCATTTGATATATATATATATATATATATATATATATGTATGTGTGTGTGTATATATATATATATATATATATATATATATATATATATATATATATGTGTGTGTGTGTGTGTGTGTGTATATATATATATATATATATATATATATATATATATACACACACACATGCGTGTGTATGTAAAACAGAAAAATATGCATCCTAATAAGAATTACCAAATAATAGGCCGGTAGATGTAAATAAATAAATGAATTGAAACAGAGTATCTACTCAAATATGAATATCCATTTAAAAAAACATCTAATCAAATAAATTAAAAGTCTGTTGGATCTAATCCATTTCCTTATATATATATATATATATATATCCCTAGACTGGTAAAAATATGGGAAAAAGAGGTTAAATTTTTTTTTTTTTAAATTACCAGTTTCACAGTTCTATGATTATCAAAAATTAAACTGATAGACATGTGGCTATGTCCTGATATGTCTCACATTTAACTGGAGTTGGAAACAATACTTGGATATTCTATTCTTATTCTATGGATGCACACATTTGACCACCTCTATGAATTCAATACCCTAATTAACAGCATCAGTAATAATATCCAATTCACAATGAAATACAGTTAAGACCAACTTCCATTCCTGGACATTCTAATCACAAAAAAAAATAAACACAAACACTGGAAGTGACATCCACCACAAAACCAACAGATTCTAAAGAATAGCTGCTATTTTACGTGAAAACATCCAAAAGACATGAAGACAAATATTCCATTTATCAAGAAGAATTTGTACACAATTGTCTCAAATTATAAAATGCAGAATAAAAGACTGCAACAAAAGAAATTCTACTCGAAAGACAGAACCTATTGTTATTAATAGATGACAGAATAGAACATATGAAAGCTATAGATATTTAAGAATTATGAAAAACAAATACTGCAGTTTCATCTAATATTTTATTGTATATTTCAACAAACACAAGAAATATAGAAACATACATTATCCACAAGAACATCCTGCCATTGAGACAATTCCCAGAATTAAAAATTACTGAAAACAGAAAAATCAAAAGCAAAAGACAACCCCTCCCAACTCCAAAAAAAATAAATAAATAAAAAATACTCACCAGTGCCAAATTACCCACCACAAACCTAACACCAACTGTCAGAAAGTGTGTTTGCACTATTAACCTCATGGAAGATTTATTAGACATTGGATTTTGTCACTTCATGTCCTCCATAGTTTGACTAACTTTTCAGCTAACCTAATGAATATTTATGGGTGTTCCTAAACTTAAAAATTTGGAAAAACCAATAACATTTTTGCTCTTGTCTATAAATACTTCTTTCAAAATAAAATTCTTGCATTTGCCTTGATAAAGTTCCTCAGAGTACGAAATATCAGTTAAGATAAGTTTTCCTTTTGTTTTTATTGATACTGTCCTTTTATAGACATTTTTTTTTTCTCCCACGCACACACACATAACATGTAAAGTAAAATTCTGGAGATACTTCATTAGCACAAAACTGACATAGTAACTGGAACAGATGAATGTATCTAAAAACTTGTACAGAAAGACCCACTGGGTGACATGAAAACATTTGCTGCTAACCTGTCAAAAGTAAGAGCTTACACAGAGTGACCCAAACGTCAGCAAGGGGTCTGAAAGTTTAATAATCGTTTTGCTTATAAACCTTTTTTTTTTTTTTTTTTCTCATCTTTGTCACCATATTACAACATTTCGGCCGTTGTATGCTCCGGGCTTCTTCAGGTTGTTGGAATGTCGAACTGAACCCTTTCTCCACTGCCTTAACCAGGTATTGAACTCACGCTTTTTTGGTCCTGTCACTGGATCTAACTAACGCCTTTATCCACTGTGCCATGTGTCCTCAAGAACTTGGAGAGAGGAATTAACAGGAGATAACTGATAACTGACACCCATTAGGCATGGCACGTGGAACTAGAACAGTCTACCCCAGTGAACAAAATAAAGGGTTCAGTTTGACATTCCAGCCACCTGAAGAACCTGAAGAAGGCCGGAGCATACAATGGCCGAAACATTGTAATAAATATGACTACAAAGATGAGGACAATAGTATGAATAAGGTAAATAGTGTACATAATACCTCCTCTCAGAAATATAGACAGAAACTTTTTTTTTTTCTTTCATGTGTTTTATAAAGGAAGCTTTGGAAACTAACCATGTAAAAGTAGATGGCTGAACAACAAACACAATCAAAATTTTTCTATCAAAACCAAAGATCAATAATCAACAAGCATATCATTGCCATTAAAGTGTGAGAGATTCTCCAAGTGACCTTCCATGATGTGGCAGACCACATTCAGTTAAGAACAAAGGAATAGTTGAGCAAGTAAGGGAGAGTATTGAAGAAGATCCAGAGCACATCAACTGAAAGGTGGTCTCTACAGGTTTTGATATCTTGGATGTCACTCCAACAAATTCTTGAAAGCATCAACCTGTCTCTGTACAAGATAGTGTGACAGCTAAAATAGCAAAGTCTACAATCCAGTTTTGCAGGTAAATTTTTTTGAAAAATAATTTTTTGCAGCTGAAGCATAAACTAGTAACTAAGTCCTGATTTCTTCCTATGGTCCTGTCTCAAAGAAAAAGGTTTATGCCAACAATATTCAGATTCACCAACAGCAGGAGGACAATATTCAGACAGACATAAAAGTGATAAAGCCTGAAACACACGAAAGCTCTGATGGAAAATGCTTTAGAAAGATCATGTTTATGCAAAACAGAAAATGTACACCACATAAAACATGTAACCTTTCTCAAGAAATGTAAATTTATTTCCCATATCTAAAACGATGAAATTGCCAATTAAAGTTAAAAATAAATTTATTAAATTTTGAAATCCCTTGGTGACTTTTGGGCATGTAGGAGATAATCACAAGAATTTGCTTCTGTTGCCAAGCTCTCTAAAAATCAAAAAGAGAAAAAAAAAAAAATGCCATGTTTCTTCAACAATTTTCAACAGATAATACATGCTTTGTCTGGCAAGGTAAGATACTATTTCGGTTGTGACAATAAAGTATATTATTAAATCTAAAATCTATTTCTTAATCCTTCTATCACCGAGACTGAGAATTTAGACTGGAAAATATGCCCAAAATTAGAAAGTGCATCTCATCATTCAACAACACACATCACTAATATGGAGATTGCATCAACTTGATAAAAACTAGATTTTAAAACCAAAAACCTTCCATAATAGCTGACAGGCCTCTGTCAGGAGACAGGTGCTTTACATAGTGTGTCCCAACTGGACAAAGGTTTCTTTCTTTCTCTCTTGACAGCATCAACTTGCAATGTGTACCAGCACAAATAACCTTTAGCATGAATGGTAACAGCCTGCACTCAGTCTGGACAAAGTGCTGACAATGGCAAGAGGGGGCAGAAAGGTAATAAATATTCTTTATATTTACATTTTTTTTATGCTTATGTTGCTTATTTACATATCTATCATTGTGACCATCTGTATTGCTCCAGAAATGTCTAATTTTTTTTTTTTTTTTGTATTTTGGCTTATTTTTAAGGTCACCTGAATTTTATGTAGGTCTTCACAAAGAAATACATACATATTTTTATGCAAAGAAGGAGATATATATATATATATATATATATATATATATATATATATATATTTAAATTTCTTCATCAGCATCGCAACACAAAGAAAAAAAAAAGATATATAAACATATTAGAAACCATCTACTTCCAGATTCCTCTTCCAGCATGTGGAGTGAAGGTAGAATTTAACAGATCGACCCTCAGGAATGAGACATCACGATGATTAGATTAACTAAAATTTTAATGACAGAAAAAAAGGAAATAAATACCCAAGAGTTGGCGAGATGATTAGAATAAAGTCCAGTTACAGCATCTACCAATGTTGAATGAATAAATATGGTGAATCAGTTTGAGGAGCCTTAATATCTTCAGGTAATGGTGAATACTTTATTAAAATATGGATGTCTGCTGGAAAATTATGGGGTGGCAATGAATGAACTCATCTGCTTACAAGTTCTTTTCCTTTTCCTTTTCTCTAGTTCTTTCAGAATTATATTTTCTTTCTCTCTCTTTTCTTACAATATATCTTCCTTTCCTTATAATTTATCTCTCATGATCTTGTCTGGGAGCTCCCATTCCTTTCCACTTGATTCTATTCAGGAATCCATCTGTGATTTTTTTGTATGGAGGATTTTCGCTTCTCAGATTTGTCATCAGAGTTGCACCTAGCAGGCGAAATCAAAGATGAATTTTTTTTCAGTTGTTATGGACGAAGGGTATATGTTTTCTCCAATCTTGCCATGCTTCAGCATTTAATGGCTGGCATACATCATATTTCTGATTTCTTGTTCTGCCAGATATTGTGTTTATCATGACGATGCCTGCACGAATACAATCTATCTCCGCAACTAACTATATTTTTCCCCCCTTGCAGTCACACATCTTTGCCGTCATAATTCTACCTTTTGATTGGCTGCTGTTGTCCAATCGGTGCTACTCAAAACTTTTGAAACTTAGTGTCATAGTCCATTAGTTCACCCCAGTTGCTGCTGATTTTCACAGTTACAGGCTGTAATTAACGTGTTTGTCCACTGCTGCTATGAGAAGGAAAGGGTGTGATGGAGGGTAGGTGTATGGTAGAAAGGAAGAGTATGATGATTGGAGGTGATGTTTTTGTAGGCACCTGTCACAATATATATATATATAATAAAAGAATTAAAAATATATACATATACAGTAGCGGCCATAATATAAGGAACAGAAACAACAAAGACATAAATATGTGTATTTCTTAATAAGTAATGCATGATTAGCAACAAAATTTTTACCAAATAAAGATTAGGGTGTAATGCATAAATATTATACAAAGTTACAAAATTTTACAAAAATTTACATAATAGTTTTTTTTTTTTTTTTTTTTTTTTTAAATAAAGATTAAATGAAACAAAGGAAATAAGCTACTGGACAAAAGTTAAGGAACGATCTTGTTAATACTTGATTGTGAACAAAATATCAACAAAATTTAATATTTGGTAAACATCCCCTTATTTTCAATGACTTGATCGAATTAATTTCTTGCAAAAATCAGCAGTAATTCCCTCCCATTCGGGTTTCTTTTCTGAGCCCTTTCTCCAATTATCTTCCAAACATTTTCTATTGGATTCAGGTCAGGGCTCTGGGCTGGCCACTTCATTAGGCCAATTCCTTCTTCTTCAAATAAAGCCATAACCTTGAGCCTTGTGGCAAGGTGCATTGTCCTGCATGAAAATAGGAGATTCATAAAGATTATGGTGTAATCTTGGTACCACATGCTGCTGAAGAAGCCTTTTGTAAATCTCAGCATTGATATTGCCATGTACGCGGATGATAGGGCCAACTCCTGCAGATGAAATCATTCCTCACACCATCACCCTGCCGCCGCCAAACTAAACGGTTTTTTTGACACATTGAGAAGACAGTCTTTCACCTGTTCTACGGCGTACGTAAGTTTTGCCCTCAGAACCAAATATAGTAAACTTGGACTTGTCACTGAAATGAACTGTATCCCATTGTGCGTCAGTCCAAACAACATGTTCTCTCGCATACTCCAGGCGTGCCCTTTGGTTTTGCTTTGAAATGTGAGGCTTTGAAGCTGGAATATGGGCATGCAATCCTGCATTTTTTAACCTGCGAGCAACTGTTTTCCTTGAGATCTTATCTGTCTCTTCATTAAATTTACGGGCAATTGATGTAGCAGTTTCAAAAGTTTTTTGTAGATATTCTAACAATTCTTCGATCTTCTCTTTGCGATGTTTTTGGAGGTCTGCTGGTTTTAGGTTTGGCATCTAACGTTTTATCGGTTTTATACCTGCTAATTACACGATGA